CAAGCTGCAGGCTGCTGCCTGCCTCAGTTTCCCTCGTGGACAAAGGAGGTTAATAACCACCTCGGAGTTCTCCAGGATACACCAATGGAGAGCTTTTCGTAAGAACAAAGTGCTGTAATTATTGTTGCTTTTATTACTGTACTGGTCTGTGTGTCTTAAAACTTGGGGTGATATTCATACCTAAATATGGCTCAGTGTCTCTTCCTTGCAGGGACACTAATGAGCAGCTCAGACCACCAAAATTAGGGGTTTAATTTTGGATTTATTTTAATCAAGATGGTCCTCTGGAGAATTCAGTGGTTTTTCCTCTACTTATAGAGGAAACATTGCAAATTTTAAGTCCCATCCCTGAGGCTGGAATTCATCTTGTGGAACTTGAGCACTGTAAAATTGAGGTGCTTGGGCTGAGGTGGTGTCTAAGCTTTTTCTGTTAAATTGAGGTGCTTGGGCTGAGGTGGTGTCTAAGCTTTTTCTGTTTGCTGGGAAATGAGGGGAGATTGTGCTCTTGATGCTCCAAGCTGCAATTTCCAGGCTGAGCTTATCTGACTCTGAACTTTCTCTCTCTGGCTGCAGTGGGAAGGAGGTTAGGTGATGAGCTCTGCTCAGCATGCCTAAATATAAGAAAGGTGAAGAGAAATAATGACTTGTAATCATAGAATGATTTGGGTGGAAAGAGACCTTAAGGCTCATCCCACTCCATCCCCTGCCATGGGCAGGGAGACCTTCCTGGCCCAGGTGGCTCCAAGCCCTGTTCTTGGGCACTGCCAGGGATCCAGGGGCAGCCCCAGCTGCTCTGGGCACCCTGGGCCAGGGCCTGCCCACCCTCCCAGCCAGCAATTTCTAATTGCCAAGAGCCCAAAATCTGTGCCTGCCCTCTGGCACTGGGAGCCATTGCCTGGCTGCTGTCCCTGCAGGCCTTGTCCCCAGTCCCTGGGCAGCTCTGCTGGAGCCCCTGGAGGCCCTGGCAGGGGCTCTGAGGTGTCCCTGGAGTCCAAACACCTGGACAGCTCTCAGCCTGTCTCCACAAATTTCAAGGACCTAATTCCCCACTCAGATTCTGCCAGCTAATATCTTGTGTTTCCTTTGCAATGACAAGCAGCCCGTGCAGTGCAAAGGGACAGTGCTTCTTATGGAATGGCTGCCTTTAACCTACAGCTGAAATTTTACGCTTGAGTTCCCCTTTTTTTTGCTTGTGCTGCCATTATAATGAAGTAAGGGATAATAGGAGTGTGGATCTTACAGCATGGGTTAGGCTGCTGAGTGTTGAGATGTGGCTCTAAGAAAAGCAAGGGAGCAGGTAGCAGATGAGAAGTGATTTAATTTTCTGTGTTGCAAGCTTAAAATGAGAATTGGTTTGTGTAGACCTGGATTTTTGTGCATGGGAGTTCTGATTCAGTTGTTCAGAGTGGAATTAGTTGTGATGAGCTGTGTAAATTAAGGGAGAGTTGGACACTTGGAAATGCTGTCCCCGTGATGACCTCTGCCTCTGAATTCTTTGGGGAAGAGAAAAAGAAAGCAGGCTTTCCCTCCCCCCTTATAGCATTAAATGTCAACAGCTGTATTTTGCTGCTGGTACTTATTAACTTTCAGCCTTGCCTTTTTCAAGCATTTATTGCTTCTGAAATGAATTAGTGCTTGTCACCAGGGAAATGTACTTCTTCCAGCTACCTTGGGTTCTCAAAAGATGTAATTTTTCTAAAGTAGATACTTTAAATTACTGACCAGGGAACCTCCTGACTGTTCTACATTAAGTTTTGATTCTGGCATGGGTTTGTCTTGATGTCTGTTTTTTAATCTTTTGAAATTCTGTTAGGGTCAGTAATTATGTAGTGTCTCTATTCTAAAGAAAAGATGGTGAATTTTACCTGTCGTTGTAGTTAATCCTTTTTACCTTTTCAACCTAAAAGCATTTTTTCACTTTATTTCCTAGCTGAAGTCAATTGTCATTATTTCTTGGTACCATTCATTCACTTTGCATCACATCACTGGATGATCACATACTTGGCTAGGGAAGTATTATTTATTTCCAAATTTAACCACTCCTGTCCCTTCCATGCAGCCCTGAAAAGGAAACAGCTTTTGGGAACAGAGGATTTTTTTAAGATTTTTTTTAATATGCCTTTGCTGCAACTTCCATCTAGTTGTTGTTGCCTGCAACTTCTTTATTGTTTGGTTTTGTTTGGTTTTTGTTGATTTTTTTTTTTTTTAACACATGTGAGCATTTATGCTTATTTATTTTTTTGTAAATATGGGGAATCTGAGGATTTGTTGCAGTTTGGTGGCCATTATCTTGGCTTTGTTAGTCCTTTACTGATGATAGGTGTGGATAAACCTGGTGTTGGGGGCCTTTCCAAATTTCCAGATCTGATCCTGAAAGGCAAGGCTGAGAACTGCAAAAATAGATCTCTGCTGTGCTTGCTTTGTAAATAGGCACCTTGTTTGGGGTTCTTTTTTCCAGATTGTTAAATTGGTGGCTATTACCCTGACAAATATAATTACAGTGTGTAAATTATACTGAAAATATTTTTGTCTGTTTGATGTATACTGAATTTAAGCTAAGTTATAAGGTGTGCTCTTTGGAAGTGTGGAAGATACAAGAGTGGAGCTACAGATAACAAGTTTATGCTTGTATTTCCTACTGATGAAGACTTTCACACAAGTTATTTCTATGGGTAGGTGATGAGAATATCACTCTGCATGTATATACATTTATTATACATTTTTGCATGATTATACATGTAGGAGTGGTACAATTTTGACTTGAGACTATTGGTGCCTTTTGTCCAAATACAATTTTACTCGTGTGGACACGTCTATCTAAAAATCAAACTTCGCTTCTGCTTTTGGAGGTCTGAGTCAGAAGCGAGAGAAACAAAGGCCTGAAGGAACAGTCCCAAGCTCCTGAAATCTTAGATAACCTGTTGAAAAAATGGTCAAATAGTCAATATTGTACTTGACCCTCGTATCTTCTGCACTCGACTGTTTATTTTTACAGCTCACATTATATATGTTCACGCTGAACTCTGATGATAAGACTGAAAGAAAACATGCCTCCCATGATTCAGTCCAGCCCTAACTTCTGCATGTAATTTAATCATCAGCTGTCACAAATAATTAACTGAACATCAGCCAGCTTAATTCTGAACTCGGTATTCCATTATTTTGTAATTGCCTTTTAAAAAGACAAAGATTGCCTTCCAGTTAATTATCAGGAATTCTGTTCCAGTCATAATCATCAGCGTTTCATGTTGCGAACAGTTTGGTCTTTAATACATTGGCATTTAACTACTCATTTATTTTTGTTGGGTCTGTTTTAAGTTTGTAATGTAACATTGTTTCATGGAATTGTTGTTTTGGAGGCAGGTCTGAAATATTTTGCGAATTTCTTCATATCTTGTTGCAAAACTGATCTTTAGTACGACTTAAGCAAAATGTCACTCTCTGGTGAACTGTGTTGCTAATCACAAAGTAGGGGTTTCTGAAAATAGTCAGTTGAGTTTTATTTCAGGCAGTAAGTTTCTAAAAAACACCCCCCTCCAAAAAAAAACCTAAAACCAAAATCTGCTCTAAAACCTCAGAAGAACAGCTTTTCAGAGAAGTAAATTTGAAACTTCTAATTCATCATGTTCTTTCTGTCTTCAACAGCCACTCAAAACTCAGAAAAGAAACCAGTTTTTCCTAAGGCTTTTCATTTTATTCTTTATCACTTCAAAATATTTCATTAGTCATTTTGTAACTCTGAAAATCCTGTCTTCCTGAACACATTCTGAGTTTATGATTATTTTATATTATCCCATACAAGTTGTACCCTCCATGTATCACACCCATAACAAAAGGTCCTGCAGATGCTCAGCTGCAGAACTCCAAGAACTTCCTTGGAGTTAAAGAACTGCAAAGATGCTGAGCTTTGTCCCATTTGTGCTTTTGTCCCATTTTGCTCATTTGTGTGGATGAAGCCTTGGTCCAAAGAAAGTTTTGATCCTCTCATTTGGGGAGGGGGAGCTCCAACCACTTTAATCCATGTTGAGTCAGTGAGCTGCAGATGGGGCAAGGCATTTGAGCTAAAACACTCACACCCTCTCAGAATTGCATTATTTACCCATTCTCTCTTCTTCCACATCAATCTTTGTCTTGAATTTGCCTGTTTTTTTTTCCCTGAGCCTCTTCTGTTTCTAGCATGCTTTCCAGTTAAAAGTTATTTTCATGCATCACAAAGAATTTAGTTGGTCCTAACAAAACAGATCAAAAATAGTTTTTTGTTATTCCTCAAGGACAGAATCATGTAAGCAGTTTTATCTCCCTCTTTCTCCTTCATTATGGTGCCAAAAATTCATATGACAATCATGTTGAATGAAAAGCATATTTATCACTGTACAATATAATTTTGTTTCTTGTTATTCTTGATCTTACAAAAAAACACAAGACAAACACCACCAAAAAACATTGCAATTTTTAAAAATTCCCCTGTTCTTGACAGGTGAATGTTATGAAAAGAAAGTTGCCTAATGTTAAATTCATTGTCACTGGATCAGTTTTATGAAAAAGTTAGTTTTATTCAATCAACCCTATAATAATGTAAGCTGTCATTTGACTTCTGTAAAATTCTCTAGATAAATATCTTGTCTGCCCAATTTAATGTCCTGTGATTGATTTTTTTTTTAAACTGGAGGTTTTATCCTTTAAAGATTGTACATGTAACATTGTCAGATATGGAGATGTTTATGTGTTAATGTAAAAGACAGTACACAAATAACTGATACTCTGATAAACGTGTGTTTCTGACACTTGTGTTTTCTGTGTATGCAAAGGTCAAAATGTCTCTGTAATCTCAGGCTATGTTCATTAACTGAAGTTTAATAATTCATATAATTTACCACTATGTAACTTCAAGAGCTTCATGTAGAACGTTGCATTAATCCTTAAACAAAATTATTTGTACTTTTTGGGGTGTCTTTCAGTCTGTGCTGGTTTCTAACCCATGTTGCTTTTCTCCTCTGCAGATGGACCCCCTGTGGTGGCTCACTATGATATATCAGACACAAACTCAGACCCAGAAGTGGTAAATGTGGACAATCTGTTGGCGGCCGCAGTAGTTCAAGAGCACAATAATTCTTTAGGAAATCAAGACTCAGGATCTGCCTGGAGAACCAGAGGGCTGCTGAATGAAATGAGTGCTGATACAGGTTTGTTTAAATTCTCTGACATTTGTGCCTGCGTTGCAGTTGGTGGGCCTCCCTTTCTTGCTTTCAGTGTTTTTATAGTTTATGCAGCTGTAAAAGCTCTCTGTGTGGATTTCGTGAGAGAATAGGACAGGTGCTTATTAAAAAGGTCTGACATTTACTCCAAAATACAAATGATAAAAATTGACAAATATTCCTGCAATATATTTTTGACATTAATTTTCTTAACTACTTTCCTTCTTCTTCTTTTCCTTCTAATTACTACAGGGAGCTTAGATCTGGGATTTTGGTGGTGGGGTTTTTTTAAATGAAAGTGACCTAATCTTGTTACTGAATGATTGATTATGACAACCCATGCCACCAGCTAGTCAACTGGTCCTAATCTCATTTTTAGAATTGGGATTGCCTGTGTATGGGGGTTTTTAAATTTTTTTTTGTTTGTTTGTTTGTCTCTTTGTATCTCTAAAATACAATCATTAATTCTTCCCATATTCCATCTGCATTTCCAATACCCCTTAGAAAATTGGACAGTGTTCTGGATGTTAGCAGGGATCATTCTCTATCAGCTTCATCCCACAGCTTTTTATACCAACGTTTTACTTCCCTTCCACTCCTTTTCTTAACTCCCATGTTAGGATTTCAGGCTGCGTTGGACACATAAGTCTTGCCTGGTGGAGCACAACAGGTTTGTGTTTCGTGCTGTTTCCCTAAGGTCTCCTGCCACAGGGGAGTGTTGTGGAGGCTCTGAGCTGCTGTTCACTGGCTCCAAGGCTTAAAGAAACACAATTAGGTGGTGCTTGGTAAAGAGAAGCTCCATTACTATGGAGTCTACAAGTGCACAATTTGAGTATGAGAATCTCTTATTTTCTCTGTGGTCCATGGCTGGATGTTGTTCCAGCCTTTTTGAAGCTTGCCTTTGTTTTCCAAGCTCACTGCTATTTTTTGCAGGACAGCAGCTGACTGATAGCTATTTGACCTCTTGAAATCCCAGTTCTTTATTAAGGGATTTGTTAAACAATTAGACCAGCTGAAATCACCTGTATTACATAGCACTAATGGATAAGTACACCTAATGAATATAAGGAAATAAAAGGTAATGTTTCTTACCAAGCTTTCTTCCACTTTTCTCTTAAAATGCTGCAGTGCAGGTAGGAATTTTTTTCCTTCCTCCACATATATCCAAGGGGACTTGCAGGTAAAAGAAAACTGGAAACATCAAGAGACTTCTTCATCCCTGGGAATGTTGATATGGATTTGGTCCTGGTTCTGTGGCTATGTCAGCAGCTGAAAGGATGAATCTCTGTTTGCTCATGCATACACCTTACCCTGCAGCCTCAGTACACATCTGACTGCACCTTCGCCAGTGCTGCCCTTTTCCTACCAGGTCTAGGGTTGCACATTGGGAAAGCAGAATTTTCAAATCTTGCATGTGGTTCACAAGTGTAATCTTCAGCCAGCATCTTGTTTAGCAGACTTAAAAGAATGTGTTCCCATGGGAAAATAGCAACATCAGCAGCTCTATCAAAGTGAAAAATCTTATTACACTATCACATCTTTGTGCATGGGCAAATATTTGGAGCTCTTTTGCAAGCCCTGGTGGTGTAGGGCAAACAAAGCATCACTTTGGGCGTCATCCTAATGTTTGTGCAAAGAAATTAACAGTGTGGGCATGAAATTTGTATGGCCAGAGGCTGTAAATCTGTCTGTCTGTGCTATAATCCTGATTAATACTCAGCTGCTCTTGCAGTATTTACTCTGCTAATCATGGTTTTGCTACTGCTAATTGTCTTTTTGTTGTCTGAACTTAAAGCTGTGGTAATATGTGGAAGCTCTTTTGGGACTCCAATTTATACCTTTGGGGATACTTTTTGGGGCTGTTTAGGAGCTGGTCTGCTTTGCTCCTTTGCCAGACATTACCCTGACAAGATAATGAAGGCAGTAAAACAATAGATAATATATTAATAGCTATTTTATTATATTATATAATATCATGGCCATCCCATTCCACCCCCTGCCACAGGCAGGGACACCTTCCACTATCCCAGGGTGCTCCAAGCCCCATCCAGCCTGGCCTTGGATGCTTCCAGAGATCCAGGGGCAGCCACAGCTGCTCTGGGAAACCTGGGCCAGGGCCTGCCCACCCTCATGGGGAAGAATTTCTCCACAGTGTCCAATCCAACCCTGCCCTCCGGCGATGTGAAGCCCCTGGGAAGTGAATTAAAGCCTCTGAGCCCTTTCATTTCATGTTTCACAGTCTGCCCAGCCACTTAAAGAAGTACCCATGACCCATTTTTGGGCTTTCTGGCAGTCAGTGATGTTTGCCAATAAATGTTCAGCTCAACTGCAATGCTGGGAAGAGACTATCTGTGGGCTATTAATTTGTTTTAAGTTCAGCTGACCAATATTTTTTTTGTCTTGTGAGGTAGAAATTCCTCCTTCAGGTACCTGCAGGACATGTGTTCCCTTCCCTTGCTAACCCTGATCCAGTGACCAAGGGTCTTGGCTTTCCAGAAATGGCACATGCAGCGTGGTCTCTGCTCCTGCACAAGAGCTGCACAGGGACTGGGGACAAGGAGGGACAGCAGCCAGGCAATGGCTCCCCCTGCCAGAGGGCAGGCACAGATTTTGGGCTCTTGGCAATTAGGAATTGCTGGCTGGGAGGGTGGGCAGGCCCTGGCCCAGGGTGCCCAGAGCAGCTGTGGCTGCCCCTGGATCCCTGGGACTGTCCCAGGCCAGGCTGGATGGGGCTTGGAGCAGCCTGGGACAGTGGAAGGTGTCCCTGCCATGGCAGGGGGTGGCACTGGATGAGCTTTAAGGCCCCTTTCAGCTCAAACCATTCTGTGATTCTATTTCCTTGCATCTTTCCCACGTGCTTAAAGCAGTCATTAGAAAGTTTCCCTGGCACTTGTTTCAAGTTTAATTTCTTCTGTTTCCTTTTAATGTCCCTGGGGGTATAATCAGTTCTGCTTGTTCACACACCTTTGAAATCCTGTGGATCATTATTGCTTCTCCTCCTCCTCTCATCTTTGAGGAGGTGTCCACTCAAACTAGACACACATAAAATATTCACGTACTCTCAAATTTCCTGCTCAACAAATGACTCTTTCCCTGTGTAGTACAGCTGACCAAGTGGTTTTTCAGAAGTAGGCAGTATCAGCTACTTCAAGGCTGCCCAGCATCCCTCAGGCTAATGATAAAGAGAGCCAGTGGAATTAATAATTTTTTCTTTTTCCTGAGGGAAAAAAAAAAGAGTAGAAGTCATATCTTTTAATTAACTGATTTTTCAAGGAATCTATTTTCTGTGGGAGAAATAATAATTTCGGCTGCTTTGTGTTTCCCATGTAAGTAGTATCCTGTATGACTCAACACATTCTCTAATTGGGGTGAAGAACCTTCTTAGCAGCACTTGGCAGAAAAAGCAAAAATGTGCCACACTTGCTGTATTTAGAGGGGGTTTGTGGTTTGATTGACTGACAAACTGGATGCCATTGAGGAACTGTAATGCAAAACCAGCCCTGCTGCATATGGGACATAAATAAACCACTTTTCAAGTATTTTTAATAATGTTAGAGCAGATGTGTGAAGCAGCACTGCCAGAAATGGATGGGTTTGCTGTGTTTTTTTGCTGACCAGTTTCCCCTAGTTTTTTATTTAAAGAAATTAAATCAATTCTCCTTGATGCGTGGATGTTTCCGTCCAGCCTATTGGCTTTTTTTTTGCTATAGGATCATTATGTTTGCTTAGATTGTTTTGTTTCTCAATGTCAGGAAGGTTTAGGGACAGTCTGACTCTTATCATAAGAGTCTTTCTGCCTGCCATAACATTTCAGCTGGAAATTCTGGTTGTTCTTCGTGCAACAGTCAGGCTTTGTTCACATTGTGCTGACACTGGCTAAATCCAGTAGTTTTCCTGTATCGGGTGATGAATTGTAAGTTGAAAAATTTGATCTAAAAACTTGGGTTTTTTGTTAGGTTGGGAATCTCCTTTTCCAGCTGATTTCTGGGTCATGTAAGCTGTTAAACACTGTCTGTATTCTCATTTTTCCCATCTCTAGATCGTTTGGATCCAGGCTTCCTTCCAGGTGACAAAATCTCTTGTGGAAATGCCCAGGCCAATGAAGAAATTAACATTGCCTCTTCTGATAGCGAAGTGGAGATTGTTGGAGTTCAGGAACATGCCAGGTATGAATTATTATTTCTTGCTCTAATATTGATTTAATTTTATCAGAATGTCTGGGATACCAAAATCAATAAAGAAAGAACTACTGACCTTCACTTCTCTAGTTACCCATCCGTGAGTGATGCCCAAAAGTCAGCAAATGTTGCACTTTTCTGTTTTGCTGGTCATGGTGATTTTGGAACGTGCTTTTCTTTAGAAGGTGACCAACTTGATAGTTATTCAGAAAAAGTTGTGTTTCAATATCAAACATTAACTGGCTAAAAGATATAACTGGCTAAAAGATATGTAGTATAAAAATAGTATAAATATATATATATATATATATATATAAAATATAAAAAAATATATTTAAAAATATATAAATAATATAAAAATATGTAGTACCAAATATTGAGATACTAATACATCATACATCAGAAATTCAGATTTTAAAGGAATACATAAATATGCAAATAAGGGAAAATCTTTATGTGGGTTCTTATTTCCTTTCGAAATACTAAGTTTTTTTAACAGCTTCCACTTTATTTAATTAGTTATTGGGGGTAAAAATGCTATCATTTTTTCAATGGCTGATGTCATAAGATATCCCTTTTAGGTTAAAAATCAGATCATTTTGAATCTTAGCTTTATTTCAAGATTCAAGAGAGGTCAAAGTAGATGGGGGTAGGGGTGCCAGAGGTTCTCTCTCAGTCAGAAACCTGTGCAGCTGTTCTTCCTGGTAGGTATTTTTTTTATGTTACTCATCATTTTTAGTCTGTGGTCTTTCCTTGGCTTAAAATATTATGAAGCAGTTAAGCAAAACTGACATTTTCTAATAGTATGGAGTGTGAATTTGGTGGAATAAAACCAAGTTAAAACAGTACACAGGCAAGCTGCTTCTAAAATTTTCTGCTGCCTCATGGGTGCTTGGAGGCAGAAAAGGGTGTGAGGAACATGGAAGAGAGTTCCTTGTCCCTTCACTGTGTATTTCTTGAGGAAGGAAGAAAGAAAAAGTTCAGGACCCAATTTCCCAGGCAGGAAACTTCATGGATAATGTGGGCGCAGCCCAGTGCTGTTGGATGTGAAAAAAAGGAAATTTTCAGGTCCAGAAAGGGCATTTAGTCTTAGCTTTTAGAACAGTGGAAAAAGTCCTTGCATGGCCAGCTCTTTTGCAGGATGGTAATTCCTTAGGCAGCAGCTCTCCTGGCTGTTCATGCAGCAGAACCCAGGGCTGGAAGGGTGTTTGTGCTGATGGTGAGGGCTGTGGATCCACCCTCCAGCACTGGCTGCTGTAAATCTGTGCAGCACACAGGACCCTTGTGCTTCTGCCCCCTCTTTGAAAGCTTTCTGTGCTGCTGCCTCAATAATACTCACTCTCTGTGGGAATGGAAACATGAGCTAAATGCAGAGTTGCTGTTTAAAATGAGTTTTAGTAGATAAGAACTGAAATGATTTCAGCAAATCAGCCTAAAAGCACTCTCCTGTGCTTTCCTTTGTTCCTGTACCCATCTCCTGCAGACCTGTGTTTACTGCCTCCCTGGAATACTCCCTCACACATTTCAGTTGTTTGAATCCTATTTAGAGTTTTATTTCTCTTGCAGGTCTAGGCTTGCAGTTATGAAGTATTGATGGGCCTCTGGCAGGGCTGTTGTTTGGACAAGAGTTAGGTTTTTGATCAGTAATTTCTGCATGCTTAGTTAGTGTGATGTTTGGATCCTGGTTTTTATCATGCTCTCAATTCCATGTCTGGGGTGAGTTGTGACACCCTGGAGTTTGTCCATTGTTTGTAGTTCTTCAGATTCTGAGTGAATTGGTGCTGTTTCTCATCATTGGGATATTCCTTGGCATCTACTTAGGACACCAAGTCATATTTTTCAGTTTGTTTAATTTTTCACCAGTAGAATTTTTTTAAAATCATACATGCATACAAACCAGTTTTCCTCTAGTTTTTCCTTGGAGTTTTTTTGGGTTTTTTATTGCCTCTACTTGGTATCTTCCCTTAGCTGTAGATTGGAAGCATGTTCTGAGCTCATGTTTGACTCAATGTTTTGCTGTTGGCTGCTTGTGTGACTAGTTTGAGGATAAACAGTTTTACTTTTCAGAGGTATCTTTTTTTGTGAGGTAATTTATGGCTTGTTTTCATAATCTTCAGGAAGAAAAGTTAGTCTTAGCTTTGCCTAAACACTTGAGGACTGTTCTCAGAATGGTGCAGCACAGTCCCTAAGACCAAACATCATATTTAATTTGCTCTGCCTACTAGCTTTTCTTGCCAGTTAAGCTTAAAAATACTTCTCCTTAAAAGAAAGCTTTAAAAAAAAGAAATCCCATACATTTTCCAGGATCTTACTGCTGATTCCTTGTAGATACATACTTTAAGTATGTGTTTTTATGACAGAAGAAGTAATAAAAGAGCCATTCTGAACATCACATCTAAACCTAAGCAGCGTATCTGAGAAGGCAATGAGACATTTATATTCAGAGAAGTTACAGCTTCTCAGAGAATGAGATTTTTCATTCTATTTCACGAAACTCCAACCAGAACCAAGAGAGCTGAGCATAACCTAAGTAGTTCTGGAGAGAATAAATAGCACAGACTTAAATTGGAATAAATAAAACGTAAATGTCAGGGATATTTGATCAGTGCAGGAAATTGGAGTTCCTGAAATACACATGCCTTCACAAAGAAATGGGAAAAGGCTACCCCAGCAGCCAGAGCACCTCGTGTTTATCCATGCAGCCAGGAGAAGCTGCAGCCACTACCAGTGCTTACAAGAGCAAAACAATTTTTGGAGCCCTAGGTATCAAGTTTTATTAGTGCCTGTGCAGGATTTACAGCTGGAAATTGAGTGATCATCCTAAAGCCTCTAATAAATTCCTGTCATCACTTCATCATACACAAAATTATTCTACCTTTCGCTGTGCATTTATTTTTTTCTAATTGCTCTTAACCTGAGCTTCATTTGTCATGTATCTACTATGGATATAATAGGTAAAAATGCTGTGTGAAAGGTACCTGTGTATCATGCTTCAGCAGGGCACTGGAGCCTTATCTTCAAATACACCTTTTAGTCTCATTGGCTGCAGTCACTTAAAGCTGAAATGTTTTGCTGAAGTGGGGCTGAACTGTTGTCAGTGAGCATTTCCCAGCGTGTTTGTAATTTTCAGTTAAAAAGACCAAAAGAAAAAAAAGTCAGGCATAACGACTGTAATAACATAATTAGCAAGATCTCTCTTGCAATTATTGTAATGAAAGTATCATTACCTCCTTGTTTTAATATGGCTTTGATTTAATATTGCAGTATAGCTTTTAATTTTCTCTTAGGCAGCCTCACTGCAGATTTTTCTCTTTTTTGAAAGTCCAATGGGTAAAGCTGCATCAGGAAACTGTGCATGGTACTACACGTGGTGGGGCAGGCTTCCTCAAGATCCTTGGGATCCATGCACATATTTTTTAAGGAGGATCACGTTACACTCACTAGCATTCCTTTGGAATAATTTAATCCCCAAATTTAAATTTCACTGGGTGTTTGGGATGCCACGGGCTCTACAAGTGGAGAATCCAGTTTGGAGAGGGAAGCGCTCACCAGCTAACGATGAAACGCTGGAGGAGGGGGTGTGGTGTCTGAGCTGAGCAGTGTCCCTGATGCTCTGTGTGTGTGTGTGTGTCCCTCTCCTGGCTGCAGGTGTGTGCATCCCAGGGGAGGGGTGATCCAGAGCGTGGCCTCCTGGAAGCGCGGCTCGCCCTTCGGCAGCGCCCAGCCCGCGCAGCCATGGACAGCAGTGGCTCCCCAGCAGAACTGGTCCTCGCCCCCAGAAGTGGTGGATCTGACTCTGGACGAGGACACCAGGCGCAAATACCTCCTGTAAGGCCGTTGTCACTGTGCTCTGCCCCCTCCCCTCCTGCCCTCCCTGGCACAGAGCGGTGAAACCATCACCTCCAGAGGCCCCGTCCTTGGCACCAAGAAACCCAAACCCACGGCGTTTCTCCACCTCCACACAGGAATGTAGTCTGATTTCAGTATCACTTCAAAGGGTTCTGCCTTCTCCGAGGAGGATTCCTGCCCAGAATTAACAGCACCAAATTTAAAACACATCTGCAGTTACTAACGTGTGCGTGTGTACCTAACGAAATAACTGCGTGCAAACTTACGTCCTCCCACGCTCCCCACCTCCCGACTCCAGGACTTTTTTAATTTATCAGTATCTTGAGTTTGTTAGTAGAAGTTAGTGTGTTGCTGTGTGAGCATCAGTGATTTTGAGAAATGCTGTGTCCTCACTGATTTCAGTGGAACTGGGGGGTATTCAACACTTCCAAAATTCGGGCCAGGAGTATTTTTACCCAGACTGATTTGGTTATGTTACCAGCAGGAGGGATTGTCTTTAATGCAAATGGCCCATAAAAAATGCACTGAACAGCTTTTAATTAAAACATTTTTTATTTTCAATGTAATTTATAGTTTATACTCTTCAGTGCTGAGTCTTCTGTCCACTTGACTACTGTGTTTCGCTGGTCAATTCCCACAGCTTGGAATGGCTAAAATAGTAATAGTAGTGACTTAGGAACAGCTGAACATTGCAAAAGCACAGGAAAAAGTAATAAAAAGGCCCAGCATCCCTCTCCTCTTTAATTATAGCTTATTATTATTACCTCTATCTGAGTTTTGCTGGAGTAGATGAAGAAGAGGAATTAAACATTTTACTCACAGTCCCCATTTCTACTGCTGCTTGTTTGTGTCATTCACCATCTCAGAAAACAAAAAACAAATCCCAAGCAAATTCCAAAGCTCCAGCCTGGCAAAGGGGTGGTCAGCTGGGACCTGTTCCTGGAATTTGTGGGGCCACTCAAGTGCTTAAAACTCTGTCCTGAAAGATGTTGCAGGATCAGGGTCAGAAACTAAGGCTATGGTTTTTAACTTTTTTTTTTTTTTTTTTTAATCAGTAATCTGCACCATTTCCCTGGCTTTCAATCATGCCTCTCCTGCTAGTTTTGGAAATTCCAAGATTCAGGAAACACTTTCTACCAGAATATTTACCAAAATCAGTGGAACAACTCACTTTAGCGGGCTGCAGTTTCTGTGGTGTACATGGAAATTCCTGTCCCTCATCTGTCATTTTGAGCCTTTCCCAAGGCAAAAACCAAAGATTAGACTTTAACAAGATGATATTATTCATTTTAAATGTCTACTGTGCAATTGAAACATTCCTTCATATTCCAGAAATTTCTGTTGGGAATTTTGTACAGCTCTGCCATTAGATTTTTCACTATTTAAAGCTGAACAAGGGTGGTCAGGACATGGGATGTTCTGCCTTTCTTTTGTGTCGGCTGGTTTTCGAAATTTATTTGGTTTCCCCTAATTTTATCTGTGGGCAAAATAAAAAATTAAAATAGAGTTACCTGTTGTTGTCACATAAAGGCAAAACAGCCCAGCAGGGGGGTATCTTTAGTAACAAACATCTGTTTCTTCCATAAGCAGAACAGCTCATGCTGCACTTTACAGAACAGCTAGGTAAGGATTGATATTCCCATTTCCAGCTTTCCAGAACATTGAACATAAGTGTCTTGCATGGCCCGAGAAAAACCTGTGGTGTTTTTAGTGACCAATTCCTTCCTGTGGGAGGGAGGGAGGGAGGGAGGGAGGGGAGCATGGACGGATCCTGTTGGCCCCGCAGCAGGGAGAGGCTCCGTGCTGCTCTGCCCATCCTTTCTCTCGTCTTTCCATCAGCTGTGGGCTCACACTCCTGCTGTAAAGGTAACTCTGGAACAGCCACCTCCTGTGGCTGCTTCTTCCCGTTTCACAGAGTCTCCTGAAGAGTGGTTGTGAGGAAAGCTGCAGGGACCCCGTCTGCAGCCCTTCCGTGAAAAAATGCAAACTGTCTCTCCTTGTTTTCCAGTTTGTATATGATGTGACTTCCACGTGTACATAAAAACAACTGCCTCCTAACCAAACTTCCTCCAACTGTGCACTGTGTTTGTTTAAACAGCTCATGTATGGTAGTCCGATGCAGGTTTTCTTTTATTTAAAACACTATGTATTTTCTCTTAACAAATTTCAAGGCTAGTGATCTGAAAAAAGCAATCACTGGATATAGGTAGGAAATAGTTTGGGTTTATTTCCTTTTTTTTTTTTATTATTTTTTTTAAACTTCTGGGGTTTTTTTGTTTTGTTTTTTTTTTTTTTAAAGAGCAAAAACGTGCCTGGGTGGTTTTTGCTCTTCTCAGCAGGAAAGAGAAAAGTTAGCCATTGTATGGCTGTGAACCAATGCACTTGGGGCCTGGACCAGAACCCACTGGGGTCGGTGTGGGGCTGCCCATCGACCTCAGTGTGCATTGGCTCGAGCCCTTCAGGGTTTAGCAGTTTTCCTGAATTGCTGGAGTGTGAACTTGGAATCTTCTGTAGTGAAGACAAATCACTGCTCAGAATATAAATGTTTAAAATGTGCGGCTCTAGTTAAAAATAAAATTTGATTCTTCTCGACACTCACTATTTAGTTCTCATTTTCCATCTACTATTTAATGGTCTTCGGAGAGAAATAATAATAAAACAGAGTGTTATATATATATATATATAAATATATATATTTTTGGTGCAAGATGAGACCTTCTGTTTTTTGAAACAAGTCTGTAGCATAAAGGTTAAACTATTTTAAGACAAAATAAAATAGAGTGTATTATTTAAACAATATCAATTTGTTGGTTTTTTTTTTTTATTTCCACTTTGATCAAATATGCTGCTGTTTGTCACATCTACAAATTAAACTTGTAAATTCTGGGTTACAGTTGCTGAAATTCAGCACTGTTTCTTGCTATAACACATTTAATTTTGCACTTCCAGAATGCTGAAGTGATTTCCTGGCTGCAAAACCTTCCTTTTATCTCAGACCAGGGCAGGACTGACACTTCTCCCTGTAGCCTTGGTGCCAGGGGATGTGCAGGTACCAGTGACAAGTGGCTGCTGCCCATCACAGATTCCCAGCACAGTTTGGTTTGGGTTGGAAGCTGGACCTTAAAGATCTTCCAATTTCACCCCCTATGCCATGGGCAGGGACATCTTCCACTATCCCAGGCTGCTCCAAGCCCCATCCAGCCTGGCCCTGGGCACTGCCAGGGATCCAGGGGCAGTCACAGCTGCTCTGGGCACCCTGGGCCAGGGCCTGCCCACCCTCCCAGCCAGCAATTCCTAATTGCCAAGAGCCCAAAATCTGTGCCTGCCCTCTGGCCCTGGGAGCCATTGCCTGGCTGCTGTCCCTGCAGGCCTTGTCCCCAGTCCCTGGGCAGCTCTGCTGGAGCCCCTGGAGGCCCTGGCAGGGCTCTGAGGTGTCCCTGGAGCCTTCTCTTGTGCAGCTCAACAGCCCCAGCTGTGCCAGGCTGGCTCCAGAGCAGAGGGGCTCCAGCCCTGGCAGCAGCTCCGTGGCCTCCCCTGCACTGGCTGCAGCAGCTCCCTGCCCTCCCTGTTTTGGGGCTCACTGTGCCCTGCAGAATCCCCTCCAGGGATGCAATTTCAGCACAGCCTCCACCTCCCCACACGCCTGAGTCCTTCAGGTGTCTGAGCAAGCTTCCCACCATTATTCCTCTGACTGCATCCCCTGTGCCATCCCCCAGACACCTTCTGCTGCTCAGTGGCCCTGCCTGGCTCAGAGGCCGATGCTCCAGGGCAGCTCCTCTCTGGCCAGGGGCGTGGTGCCAGGTGTTCAGAGAACCACAAAATTGTATGGGGGAATTTCGAGCCACAAGGAAAGAGGAGGATGGTAAAGGACAACTGCACTGTGCTGAACGTGGGGTCCTGCTGCCTTGCCTGCCCCCTCACAGGCAAAATGGAAATGGGAATAGGAATAAAAATAATAATGATTATAATTCAGTACCTCTGCTGTGTTTTATGTGTATTTATCACATGAGAAAGCTCCCAGTGCAAATCAATAAGGCCACTTATCCATGTATTTTAAGTACCAATATGGATAATGAAGGTAGAGTGGTTTTCAGCCTTACTGAGTCCTTGGCATTTGTGGAGCCTGAAAATACAAAATCTGGGCCTGGTGGTCATTGGTGCCTGGTGAGCACCAATCTCAGATTTTATTTTGTGTTTATCAGCAGCTGAGGGAGAACAAAGCCCTGGAGTTTGGTGCAGATGTGGGAAGAGGACAGATAAAATATCTGCTGAATTTTTTCTTCTCTACCACCAAGAGATACCCAGAGTGTGTAGGCTTCAGGGTACACTGGATGGAAAGCTTGAAATTCCTCCTGTGGCCTTGGCATTTCCTTATGCAGGAGCCACTTGACTTTGTGGGAATTGCTATTTTTGGGCAACACAAAAACTGATGAAAACTACCCAGAACCAGGTTAGCTTTTGTATTGTGTTTCCCCCAGTGAATTAGTTGCAATGCAGGCTAATTCTGTGGCTGAAAGTTCGGTTTGCCCGCCTTGAAATGAAGACTGAATGGGTTGTGCTAAGTGGCTTTGAACAAGCTGCTGATAAACACAAAATAAAATCTAAACACAAAATAAAATCTCCCCCAGTTCCCTGGAGAATCTGCAAATGGTGATCTTTGCTGAAGGCATCACTTCCCTTGGCTGAAACACTGCCAGTTTTGCCTCTCCTTTTTGGGGCTGTCATCTCTGAATGTCAGCTGCTGTGGCTTTCTCTCCAGAGCACCCCAGGGATGCAGTTTCCCTTCTGTCTGCACAGGGAAGGAGCAGAATGCCTGCAAAATGCAAACTTGGGATGCACAAACCCTGCACTTACTGACAACTTCGGTGCAAATAAGGTGAAATCCTCTTGTTAGTGATGCTAAAGGGCAGACAAGGATCCAACCCATGGATCCCCACAGTCTATATCTTGAGTTTTTGGAAAGTAAATTCCATCCTGAGAGTCCTGACGACTGCTGATTCACAAATGCCCCTTGGAAGTTTTCTCATGGATCTGGTTAGTCATCTGGGTTTGCAATTTAGTTTAAAATTAGAATTGAGTGCCAGCCACTGGGAAGGCAACATCTTTCAGACAGTCTCGGGGCAAAGCTGGAGTGGGCAGGGGGAAAGCTGTCTGGAAGTTTAATTTCAGATAATTTTCTACACTTACTCGCTGCATCAGCAGCTTCGGGTGAATCCAGGGCAGCCACATCAGAGCCGGGAAAACAAACAAGAGTGCTCTGTCAAATTCATTTTCCATTGCTGTAGGTGCTGTGAATTGAACACAGCTCCTGGAGCCTGACTGGTGCCTCTGATGAAATGCCATCTGCAGCTGAGCTGTGCTTCTGCTTTGTCCCCGGCTGGCCCATGGTCAGCAACACCCAAACCTTTCCCGCTGTGTTTCTTCCACATCCTTGTGTGTCTGCTTCAAACTTGGAATTGCTGTGGGCCAGTGAGCCCCAGTGTCACAGAATCACAGAATTATTTGGGCTAGAAGGCAACTTAAAGACCATCTAAATCCAATTCCCTGCCATGGGCAGGGACACCTTCCACTATCTCAGGGTGCTCCAAGCCCCATCCAGCCTGGCCTTGGGCACCGCCAGGGATGCAGGGGCAGCCACAGCTGCTCTGGGCACCCTGGGCCAGGGCCTGCCCACCCTCAGAAGGAATAATTCCTCCCCAGTGTCCCATCCAACCCTGCCTTCTCTCCATTTAAAGCCATTGCCTGGGTGCTGTCCCTGCAGGCCTTGTCCCCAGTCCCTGTGCAGCTCTGCTGGAGCCCCTGGAGCCCCTGGCAGGGGCTCTGAGGTGTCCCTGGAATATTCTCTTCTCTAGGTAACACACCAAGACCAGAATACAGAGGGGCTGTATTGAGCAAATCCTAATAAAAGGGGATAATTTCAAAAACAACCTCACAACATGTCTCAGAAGAGGCCTGGCAAGTTTAAAATGTTGTTTAGTTCAACCCCCCCACAGCAAAAGGAGAATGAGCCCCTGGTGCCCAGGAGACCTGCACAGTTCCCAAGCATTTTCTGTGGTTGGGAAGCTGTGTAAACAAAGCCTGAGGCCATTAAAAACCCCATCCCACTTGCAGGTGAGGAATCCTTGACTCCTTGGACAATCCCTCTTTCCTCCATCTGCCTGTCAAAAGGAGGAATTAGGGCTTTTAATTAAAGCAGTCCCACCTGGGCATGGCACAATGCAGGGAGTGAGCTTTCTGTGAGGGGCTGAGCTCCCTGACACTCAAAAAAAATTCTTGTTTAGTGCTTTATTTTCCCAGTAAGCGGCAGGATTGCATTTTTGGAGGGGTGATGCAGCATTCCCTCATCCTTTGATGGCCAGTGTCAGGTCTTGCCCTGGACCAGAATTCCCAGCTTGTCCAAGGGTGTAGAAAAACTCTAAAATGCCCTTAAAATTATCCAAAATGCTCCAAAATTAGCTTTACCCCTGCATCCTCTCCTTCCCCGTGCCTCAGGGAGAAATCCCTTT